AAGCTGGAAGTGGCGCTGTGGCTCAAGTGGTAGAGCGCTAGCCTTGAGCTGAAGAGCTGAGGGACAGTGCCCAGGCCCAGAGTTCAGGCCCCACGACCAGGCCAAAAAAAGAAAAGAGGAAAAAAAACAATACAAAACAAAAAACAGCTGGGCGCTGGTGGCTCACGCCTGTAATCCTAGCTACTCAGGAGGCTGAGATCTGAGGATTGAGGTTCAAAGCCAGCCCGGGCAGGAGAGACCATGAGACTCCTATCTCCAATAAACCACCAGAAAACCGGAAGTGGCGCTGTAGCTCAAGTGGTAGAGTGCTCACCTTGAGCTGAAAAGCTGAGGGACAGTACCCAGGCCCAGAGTTCAAGCCCCACGACCGACTAAAAAAAGACAACTGGGCACTGGTAGTTCACACCTATAATCCTAGCTTCTCAAGAGGATGAGATCTGATGGTCTTCAAATTTCTAAGTCAGCCCAGGCAGGAAAGTCAGGAAAGTCCATGAGACTTTCATTAGCCATCAAAAAGCAAAAAGTGGGGCTGGGAATGTGGTTTAATGGTAGAGTGCTTGCCTAGCATGATGAAGCTCTGGGTTCGATTCCTCAGTACCACATCAGCAGAAAAAGCCAAAAGTGGCACTGTGGCTCAAGTGGGAGAGCACAGAGAGGCTTAGGGACAGTGCCCAGGCCCTGAGTTCAAGCCCCAGGATAGGCCCTCCCCCAAAAACAAACAAACAAAAAACACCAAAAAAACAAAAAAAGAAAAAAGTACAGTTTGACTCAAGTAGTAAAACACCAGCCTTGAGCAAAAAAGCTAAGGGACACTGCTCAGGCCCTGAGTTTAAGCCCAGTACTGGCACCAAAAAGAGCTGTCTCAAATGTACTCTACTCAAAGCCAATAACACATAATTAGATAACATACAAATACATGTAAGCCACACATGCTTAAGTCTGTCAGTACTGTCAAGGTATGGTTTGAGAAACAACTAGATCTGAGAATTCTTAGGGCTGGAGACAAGTGAGGGACATTGCACACTGCCCAAACTGTCTAATAACGGGCAGTATTAACACTCAAAGCAGCATGACAAGGCATATATGCCACCCCTAGCCAACTCCTCATCAGACTAGGGACTGGTTAGGGGAGCCCACTGTGGGATTCCAGGCACTTCTGGAATCACTTTTCTATTTTTGGAGCAGCTTACATTTCCCTTTGCCTTCTGGTTTACAAGGCCAAAGCAGCTGGATGCCTACTCAAGAAGAAGACAAGTATGCTCTTGACTTTCACTGCCTAGTGGCATCCAAGGGAAGGAGGGAAGTCTTATCAGATAAATAACTGTTCAACGGAGTCTAAGATCCCAAACCTCACTTTCTACTAGAAGTCGGAAAACCTGGCTTGGTCTCTATGCTTCATCCTATTATGGTTTGATTTGTGGACCCATGTTCTAACTGACCTATACACACACAAAATCCTCCAGCCAAGGTGGTAAGAGCTTATATAGGAAAGAGCCAAAAGGCTGAAGATATGACTTGAAGACTATGGTTGGCACTGTGGAAATAAAAAACCAAGAATGGAAGTTTTCTAGCAAGAGGCTGACTATAGTTACGAGCCTGGGAGGAGAGGACAACTCAGGAGTCACCAGGTGCCCTGAAAAGGGCACCCTCAGTGCATTCCGGACCCAAAGCCCAGTTGTTTCTCAAACCCTACCTTGACAGTACTGATGGATCTGCATGTGCGGTTTACATGTGTAATATGGAATCTGCCTCTATGTATTACTGGCTTTTAAAAGAGTACAGTAGAGACATCTGTGTACACCTGAGGCTTGAACTCTGGGCCTGAGCACGGTCCCTGGACTCACTGTCCAGTTCATGGCCCCAAACCAACATTACCGTTTTTCCAGCCTCTTTTTCTTACCAAACTCCCCAAAATTGGAGCCTTAAGGGACTTCAATGTACATCCAATCCAAATCCTTCCTTTTAGGGAAAAGGAAACTGAGACCCAAGGTCACACAGTCAGAGAGAGGCAAAGCAAGGACTTGAAACTGGCTCTGTGGCCACCAGGGTTCCAAACACCATTCCCTTCCGGGTTTTCTCCATTGGTGACCTCCCACCACCACTCCAGACCCTAATTTCCACCTCATCACCCCAACTCCGCAAGCTCCGAGCCCATCCGAAGCTCATTGCCAAGGGTATTTCTCCACGTGCTTCCTTCCAAACCTCTCACCCACTCATTTCCTCCTTTCAGCTCCATCCCAGGTGATGAGATTCCCCTTTTCCAAACCACGTTCTATGCCCAGTCCAAAACTGCCCCCTGGCCCCCTCCTCCGTCCGGCCCCCGGGGCCCGTCTGCCCGGGAGGCCCCGCCCCTCGCCGTCTCCCCACTTCCCTCCGCAGCTGCACTCACGCCCCGGCCCCTCTCACCGGTAAAGCCGCTTAGTGTGGAGGACCTTTGCTTCGGGCTCGCTGCTCTCCCCTGCAGGGGGACCTTGGCTCATGGTGCCCGGGTCCAGGGGCAACTCCTGGTCACAGGCCCCCGTCACCCACCACTCCCTCCTCCACTGCCGTCGCCGGCCGCAGGCGCCACTGCCGCCGGCCCTGCAAGGCCGCCATTGCTGTGAGGCGGCTCTTGCGGCAGCCCCGCCTCCGCCTGCGAAAGTCTCGCGATAACAGCTACACTGGCGCGGACTATTGGAGGGCTACTTACCAAATCTCGCGAAAAGCGTTTTCCCTCCCGGGAAGTTGCCAGAACTAAGTCTGGGCAGTCCGGCCTCTTTCCGGCTTCTCCAAACTCTGGAGAAAAACTTTATTGACAAATGTACCAGAGAAGGAACAGTGGCTAGCAGGTGGGCTCACAGCCAGGATCCTGACTTTGGTGTGCCCTAGTCCATCCTGAAGTGCACCCTTGGTGTCCTTTAACACCTCTTCCCCCACTCCCCACCCCCAATTTGAGCCAAGCCTCTTTCAGATTACTGGTTAGAATGATTCTAGTTACCCTATTCCAATAATTTAATTCTTTCAAGAAAAAGATGTGAGGCTGGGGATGTGGCTCAGTGGTAGAGTGCTTGCCTAGCATGCATGAAGTCCCAGGTTTGATTACACAGTACCACATAAACAGAAAAAGCCGGAAATAGCGCTGTGGCTAAAGTGGCAGTGCTGTCCTTGAGCAAAAGCAGCTCAGGGACAGTTCCCAGGCCCTGAGTGAAGCCCCAGGACTGGCAGAAGAAGAAGAAGAAAAAAAAGAATGTGTATATGAAAGTTTTCCTTAAAAAGAGCTAAACATCGGGGCTGGGAAGGTGGCTCAGTGGTAAAGTACTTGCCTTGCATGCAGGAGGCCCTAGGTTTGATTCCTCAGCACCACATAAGCAGAAAAAGCCGGAAGTGGTGCTGTGGCTCAAGTGGTAGGCTTGAGCTGAAGAGCTGAGAAACAGTGCCAGGCCCAGAGATCAGGCCCCACGACCGGCAAAATAAAAATAAATAAATAAATAAATAAAAGAGCAAAACATTGCATAGGACTAAGGCTCTGGAAGGCATAGCACTTATATCAAACATGTCCAGTGTGTAGATCCATCTCTCACCAGACCAGCAAACATTCACTAAACACCTACTTGAGTTCTAGCCACAGTAGAGGGGTCTGGGAACAATGAGCAAGCTAGATGCTGTCCCTGCCCTCAAAGCTAAAATGACTTCAGGGTAAAGTCTCTAGACTAGAAGCCACTCCCTTATATTTCTGCCCCTTTAACCCCTCATTAGAAAGATTATTTCTGGGAGGTAGGATTGTAGCTCAGAAAGATTACTTCTGGGAGATAGGAGATTGTGAACTGCCTGCCTACCAAGCTTGAGGCCCTGAAGCCCAAAGAATAAACCATAGTACAGCCCTACCAAAAAAAAAAAAATCAGGGGGAAGGTGAGGGATGTAACTCAGTGGAAGTGTTTCTCACTCAGGACCTCATTCTCTTATTTAGGTTTTTCCACTCAGGGTTGGCATGAGCAGCACCTTCAATTTTGTTTTGTTTAGTTTTTTTTTGCTGGTTAATTGGAAGTAAGAGTCTCTGATTTGTCTGCCAAGGCTGCTCCATTCTCCTGAGTAGCTAGAATTACTGGCTAGAGCCACAGATACTACGTTTCAGTTGCTTTCTTAACCTTAAAGCTAAGCTATAAAGAAACGTTCTGAAGTTATTTTGGGAAGGGAAATTGATAGAGGGGTTAGATTAATTGAAATGCATTGTAAACATGTGAAAATTTAACAGTAATAATGGAATTCTCCTCACCCCCACCTCTGTATAACTAATGTAAGCTAATTTAAAATAAAACAACAACAACAAAAGGCAAGGTGTTTGAGGACCTGTGTACATAGTATAATCTTTCTGTTCCTGAAATAGCAAAAAAAAAAAAAAAAAATGTACCTACCCACTGACTTTTCACTTGCAGTTCCTCCAACTGGAACACTAATGCTCAAGCTTTTCTATTAGGTGTTGGTTCAAATGTCACTTTTATTAAAGAGGATTATCCTACAGAAATTATTGCATTGCTGTAATTGTATTATTTATTATCTGTTACCTCAATAGAACATAAGCTCAAAAGAGTAGAGACCTTGATTGTCATTTTATTTTCTTTTGTCTTGCCCAAAATAGTGGGTAGCTTAATAATAAATGCTCAATAAACACTTACTGTTTTTCTAGGGATCCCAAACAATTCCAAATGCTCTTTGGTATACACATAAACCCATTTTTCTCCCTCTACTTTCTTGAGTTTGGAACTCTTAAATATCCAGGTACCTAAAATACAAACTTATCTCTATGCCCCACTGCAACTTAATTTAGAGAGGATAATTTCCTCCTCAGAAGCTTTTTCTTTTGGCAGATCAGCAAGGTAGGGCCTGCCCCTTTAATCTGGGCGCCACCTGTTCTGGTCAAACAGGTTTGGAGACTTGAGTAAGGCCAAAGAGACAGGAATACTTGCAAAGCCAGCAGGGAGCTGGGCAGTTCTCTTCTGGCTGTTGGGACCTACCATCTCTCTCCAGGTGAAAAGTAAGAGGGTTTCATGAGTCCAAATGGCTTGGGCAGGAGATACCTTGAGGTAAGAGAAGGGAAGCAGTGAAATAAAGGGTGACAAAGAGAGAAGGCTTGGGAGACAGCCATATTAGACCTAACTCAGAATGGACAGATTCATGTTCTGGGAGATGGATGATGTAGTTAGTGAGAATTTCAAAGCTGACCAAGCAGATAGATTAGATTAGAGAGGAAAGAACTCAGTGTCCTGCAACAGCCAACTCCTTGTAACAGATTTATTGGCAAGTCATTGCTATCATTTGCTAGGAGAGTTCCAAGCAGGGAGATATAGAGAGAAGGGGAGAAGGGACAGTAGATGGGCAACTTCTCTCTCTACAGGAAAATCTCCGGTGAAAAGGGAGTTCTAGACAAAACTGAAGATACTTCCTCTTCATTCCATTCCTGCATTAAGCTGGACCATAAATCCAGGGGTTTTGGTGGAGGGAGTGGAAGGCATGGGTTGGGCTGAGGATACAGCTGCCAGGATCTGTGCCCCCCTGACTCACAGTTGTCCTGCTAGATGGCATTTGATGTTGAAAGGGTGACTCCATTTCAGCTGCTCACTGTCTTGCTCCTCCTCCTCTTTCAACACTGTCTTCCTCTTCACCTTGTTCTCTCCAAGGTGTCAGAAGGGCACGAAGCTCATGAGGTCAGTGGCCTAAAGAGTTCCAGTTCTGAAGGACTGTTGTAAGTAAAAGCCAAAAGATGGGCTTCTGACAGACCTCCCCTCTGCTCCCTCCAGGATGACGTGACCTTATGGTAGACACCAGAACTGAGGCCCCAGGATGACAGAACCTGAAACTCTGGCCTTGCTGGAAGTGAAGGGGTCTGAGGCCCCGGAGAAGAATTCACCTCAGGCTTTGGTTTCTAATAGCCAGAAGCCAGAGGGGGAAGATAAGGATGAGTCTCTTGGAATTGAATCCCTCACAGTGGAGTCTTCAGTTGGATTGCCCATGGCCAGAGAGGGGACTGAGGATGGTCTAGACAGTACAGTAAGTGAAGCTGCTACTTTGCCTTGGGGGACTGACCCCCCACCTAGTGCCCTGTTCCCAGATCCACCAGGCTGGCGGCAGCACATTGAGCCAGAGCCCCTTGAATCAGAACCACCTAGTAAGTCAGAAGAGTTATCCAAAGATGATGCCAACCTTCTGCCTGAGAAGGTGGCCCGGGCCTTTGTGCCTATTGACCTACAGTGCATTGAGCAGCATCCGCAGGAAGATCTCATTTTGCGCTGTGAGGTGGGCCAGGGTGATCATCGGAACTTCCTGTCCACCAGAGCTACCCACCCTGAGCCCCTAGAGCGCAAGTGGTCTGAGGCAGTTGTGAAGCCACCTGGCCGGTCCTGTGGAGGCTGTGGGAGCTGTGGAGGCCGTGAGGGTCTGAGAGCTGTGGCTTCAGTGGTGGCTGCCCTCATCCTCTTCCCCTGCCTGTTGTATGGAGCATATGCCTTCCTGCCCTTCGATGCTCCACGGCTGCCCACCATGAGTTCCCGCCTGGTCTACACGCTGCGCTGTGGAGTCTTTGCCACTTTCCCCATTGTGCTAGGTGAGTCTGGGCCCTGTGAAAAAAAGGGGGGATTGGGGATATGGATATGGCCTGCCTGGCAAGACAAGGAAAGTTCTGTTTCCTTAGTCTGAACCCCTTAGGGCCTCCCATACTTGTCACTCTGTATGCCTTTCTCTTCTACAGATTGTGTAGAGCCCATGCCCGTTCTCCCTTCACTGTGAACTCTTCCTACTATGGCTCCCTCCTCCTGCCTGTTCTGACCCTATGTGCTTCCCAATCCCACCCAGGGCTCCTGGTCTATGGGCTGAGCCTGTTCTGCTTTTCTGCTCTGCGGCCCTTTGGAGAGCCAAGGAGGGAAGTAGAGATCCACCGGCAGTATGTGGCCCAGTCAGTCCAGCTCTTCATCCTCTACTTCTTCAACCTGGCTGTGCTTTCTACCTACCTGCCCCAGGATACCCTCAAGCTGCTCCCTCTGCTCACTGGTCTTTTTGCCATCTCCCGGTGAGTAGGGGCTGAAGGGAGGGGGAGCAATGGGAGAAGTGATGGAGGTGATAGTGCTAGAGGACCCAGCCATCTGAGTGTCCAGAAAGCCAAGGGTCCTGGATGTAGGTTCAGGAGAGATGTCTTCTTTCACTCTTGCACCTGACTTTACTGGATAGTAAGTAATCAAGCTCTTATTTTACTATGGCAAGTTATTTCAGAGACATATATGCCAACATAGATCTAGAAAGCTTTCAAAAGCCATTTAGTTACTTTGGTGCTGGGGATAGAACCTGAGGCCTCATGAGCTTTATCGCTAAGCTCTAAGGTATTTTTAATATGAATTTCTGCTCACCAAAGGGAAGATGCCTTTTTTTTTTTGCTGGTCCTGGGGCTTGAACTCAGGGTTTAGGCTTTGTCCCTGAGCTTCTCTGTGCTCAAGGCTAGCATTCTACCACTTCCGGTTTTTATGTGTTACTGAGGAATTGAACCCAGGGCTTCATGCATGCTAGGCAAGCACTCTACCACATTCCCAGCCCCAGAAGATGCCTTTTAATTTCTGAACCCAAGTATAGGTCTCTTTTTAAATATTTACTCTGTTGTCTTCAATGCAGGATTGTATATAGCCTTAAATGCTAAAATATTCTTCCTAGTGAGTTAAAATTAGTCTTCTTGTCACTTCTGATTGTAGTCTAGTGGTCAGCTCTCCCTCTTGACCATCATGCAGACATACATATTCTCAGTAGATTTTCTCAAGATAATTATGACTCTGTTCCTATAACTGAATCACCTTCATCTGACTCAGGAATACTGAGCTGAGATAGAAATTGGCTTAAGGGCTGTGATTGTAGCTTAGTGGTAGAATGCTTGCTTAGCATGCATGAAGCCCTGGGTTTGAGTCCTCGGAACCAGAGAAACAGAAAAAGCCGGAAGTGGTAATGTGGCTAGAGTGCTAGCCTTGAGCAAAAGAGACTCAGGGACAGTGCTCAGACCTTGAATTCAAGCCCATGGACTGGCAAAAAAAGAAGTTGGCTTAAGCAGTAAGAATCATCAGGGAGTTAAAGTGAAACTTTGCATTTGTCTATTCCATGTCCCAGTTTACAAAGGGAATTACAACAGCCTGAGGGACATGAGTTGCTCAGATCTGTCAGCAGCAATGGCAGGACTAGAATCCAGACCCACTCCATCTCCTAACTAGGGTCCTTTTTCTTTACCATCAGCAAGTTTTCTATTCATATGGTATCTTGGTTTCATCATCTATAAATGGAATTGTTGTGAATAAATGAGTTAATTCACATAAAGGTGCTTAAACAATCTGGTACTTGGTTAAGTGCTCCCTACATGTGAAGTCAACATATGCTGCTTCCTCCAGCAGTAGAAGCATTATCTCTGTGTGTGTGTGTGTGTGTGTGTGTATGTATGTGCATACTGGTACTGTGGCTTGAACTCAGGGCCTTACACTCTCATTTGGCTTTCTCTAGTCAAGGCTAGAGTTGTACCCTTTATGTCATAGCTCCATTTCCAACTTTAGTTAATTGGAAGTAAGTCTCTTAGATTTGTTTGACTCCAGGCTGTCTTCAAATCTCAATCCTGATTTCAGTCTCCTGAGTAGCCAGTATTACAAGTGTGAGCCACCAGTGCCTTTCAAAAAAACTTTTTGAGCTGGGTGCTAGTGGCTCACACCTATAATCCTAGCTACTCAGGAGGCTGAGATCTGAGGATTGTAGTTCAAAGCCATCCTGGGCAGGAAAGTCCATGAGATTTTTTTCCAATAAACCACCAGAAAATTGAAAGTGGCACTGTAGCTCAAGTGGTAGAGTGCTCGCCTTGAGCTGAAGAGCTGAGGGACAGCACCCAAGCCCAGAGTTCAAGCCCCACAACCCAAAACAAAACAAAAAACCCTTTTTGAGGACTGGGAATGTGGCTTAGTGGTAGAGTGCTTGCCTAGCATGCATAAAGCCCTGATTTGATTCCTCAGTATATGAACAGTAAAAGCTACAAGTGGTGCTGTGGCTCAAGTGGCAGCACACTAGCCTTGAGCACAGAGCAGCTCAGGGACAGCACCCAAGCCCTGAATTCAAGCCCCAGAACCAGGAAAAAAAAATTGGTGCCGGGCATTGGTGGCTTACACCTATAATCCTAGCTTTCAGGAGGCTGAGATCTGAGGATTTCAGTTCAAAGCTGGCCCAAACAGGAAAGTTCTGAGACTCCTATCTCCAACTAGCCACCAGAAAACTGGAAGTGGAGCTGTGGCTCAAAGTGGTAGAGTGATAGCCATAAGCAAAAGAGCTTGGGGACAGGGCCCAGGCCCTGAGCTCAAGCCCCATAACTGACCCCCCCCCAAAAAAAAAATGTGTTGGCACTAGGGCTTGAACTTAGGGCCTGAGTGCTATCCCTTAGCTTTTTCCAATCAAGAGTGGAACTCTAGTACTGGACCACAGCTCCACTTCTGGCTTTTTGTTGGTTAATTGGAAATACAAGTCTCACAGTCTTTCTTGTTTGGGCTTGCTTTGAACCATAATCTTCGGATCTGACTCCTCGGTAGCTAGGATTACAGGCATGAGCCACTAGCATCCATTTTTTTTTCTTTTCTTCTTTTGCCATTCCTGGGGCTTGAACTCTAGGTCTAGGCACTGTCACTGAGCCTCTCTGTGCTCAAAGCTAGCACTCTACCACTTGAGCCATAGTGCCATTTCCTGCTTTTTCTGTTTATGTGGTACTGAGGAATCGAACCCAGGGCCTCATGCATACTAGGCAAGCTCTCTACCATTAAGCCGCATTCCCAGCCCACTTTAGTTGTTTTTAAAAGTACCAGCCACACACACTCCCAATTGCCTTCTTCACTCTCTATAACTTTCAGTTTTTGCCAACTAGCTGGTCCCTGGAAAGTAGGTTAACTTTTGCCATGCCCTCTGCAGGCTGATATACTGGTTAACCTTTGCTGTGGGACGCTCCTTCCGAGGCTTTGGCTATGGTTTGACATTCCTGCCCCTGCTGGCCATGCTGGTGTGGAACTTCTACTACATGTTCGTGGTGGAACCCGAGCGCATGCTCACGGCTTCTGAGAGTCGCCTGGACTACCCTGACCATGCCCGATCTGCCTCTGACTACAGGCCCCGTTCCTGGGGCTGATCCATGGGATGCCAGCAAGGTGGGCCACCACACTCCTCAACCAGCAGCAGACCTGGGCTTTGCCCCATCCCTAGAACTTCAGTAGGGGGAACTCTGTTGTTCCTCATAGGAGTTCTGCCTGGACTGACCTTTGCTCTTCATTTATCCACAGCTGCCCTTTACTTATTTTTTTTTTGGTCAGTTGTGGGACATAAACTGTAGGCCTGGGCGCTGTCCCTCAGCTCTTCAGCTCAAGGCTAGTGTTCTACCACTTGAGCCACAGCACCACTTCTTGCTTTTTCTGCTTATCTGGTGCTGAGGAATTGAACCCAGGGCCTCATGCGTGCTAGGCAAGCACTCTACCACTGAGCCACCTTCCCAGCCCCTGCCCTTTACTATGGAAGCCTGGGATAGTCCTAGAGAGGGATTTTTTTTTTTTTTCAGGGAAAGAGGTGGACAGCCATGCCCCTTAAGGATGTTGAGGACAAGGACCAAGACTAGTAGGAAAGGAATAGTTCCTCTCTGAGCAGCCTCCACAACTGCTACTAGGACCCACCAATGCTGGACTCTGCCCTGCTCCTCAGCTTTTAGTGAGTAGGGGACAGACCACAGCTAAACCTAGAAGGTCTCAAATCAGAACTCAAGGTAATTGGAAAACTTGCCCATGCCAAAGGACAAAGAATGGCATTGGATCACTTATGGATTTTCATGCTTGAACCTTCCTAGCTAGGTTCAAGACTCTACCACAGGCCTTAAGGACCTTTAGCATCAGTCAAGACTATTAATGCTGCTGCCCCAACCAAGGATGATGCTTCCTCCCTTCCAACTTATGTAGGTCTCTGACATCTTATCTCCAAAATTCATACTTCCCATGGGAGAAGAGTAGCTAGGGAGACCTGTCTCCCAAGAAGGTTTTGTGCAGTATTTGTCTGGGGACGGTTGGAAAGGTGTAGTGGCTAATGTTAGCCCAGTATGAGTGTGAATATGTGTGCATGCATGCCAAACAATAAATTACTACCATAGTCTTCGTTGGTTCTTTCTTCTTGTTTACCCATACTCCAGTCTCATGTTTGTCTCTGTATGATTCAGACTATACCAATTACCTCCTAGTTTCACATGGCAGAGGGTGGCTAGAAGGAGCCTTGGTTCAATGGGGAGAGAGAACTAGCCTGGTAAGGACATGGACCTCAAACAAATTTGCCTTCCAAGCCCATGTCAGGCTTCCCATTCCCTAGAACCAGCCCCAACCCAACCATTCACATTTTAAGGAAACTTATAGGAATAAAAATGTGTATTTCATGCCTTCCAGGGAAACCACCCAATCACTCATTGAAGCCTTCAAGGCTCATCCAAGAGATATAGGGGGTGGGGAAAATGACACAAGGAGTCAGCACCAACAAAATCTTGCCTTTAGCAATAAGTGTGGCCCTGCCTCCTCATCCTAGGTATGAAGGAAGTCCCACCTGGGAGCACCCAGGAAGTTGAGGCTGATTTTTGAGGTTCTGTAGAAAAGCATGATGGGAGAGGGGAAGGGCCAGGTGGAATACTGAACTTCCAACCTCCAGCAGATTGAGGCACAGCAAGGCAAGTCCAATAATGCCTTTCTTCTAACATAGTAGATCTCAGTTTATAGCTTGGTACTCTGAGTACTGCTTATGGCGTAGCAGTAGAATCAGGCCTCCTCCCAGCAACATGAGTCCTGGTGCACCCAGGGCCACTGCCATGATTCCCAGGACTAGCGGAGACAAGGCATCCAGTGGAGGGGGTCCTACACCCAGAAGCATCGACCTAGAGCAAGAAGGTTGAGAGAGATGTAAACAGGTTTAGGAGGGAAGACTGGGAGGCTCAGCCCCCTTTCATTTTGGCCTCTATAAGTCCTGGCTCTTACCAGCTGAGGTAGTATTGGTCCCAGTAACCAGGGCCTCTAGAAGTCCCAAATGTCAGATTGAAGACACAAAAGCTGTTCTGAGATCCACCAAAGAAGGCTTGGACAATGGGTGACTTTGGGAGAGAGTATTCTGAGGTGGGGTGAAGAGGGGAAGCATGGCAGGGTAGAGCTGATTCTCGGTTTCCCTGCTTCTGGGAGAAAGCCACTGGTCTCCACTGCATGAAGCCAGATGGGAGGGAGCCCCACAGCAACTGGTCCAACTGAGGAGAAAGGCAAATGAGGTAAGGTGAGGGGTATCAACCTGTGCCCAACCTTTCTATTCCCCCATCTCTTCCTGACTCATCTGTGACTAGTACAGGCAGTATGTTTGCTAAGAGCATGGTTCTATAACTATTTATACCAGGGCTCAATCTCTTGTATGTCTAGAAGCTGGTAGGCACTCCCTCATATTAGGAACCAGTGGAGATCCCAACCAGCAAAGCATAAGTTATAATGCACTGCCTTACATCTTTTTCTCTTAAGTGCAGAGGAGGTAGGAGTTGGGCTGGGAATGGATGGATTTGTTACACAGTGCCTGAACTTGAAGGAGAGAGATCTGTTGCTGAAATGATAAATAGCTGAATAATTTTCTGAGGTCCCAATAGGCTCCCACCCACATTCCCATCTGTCTACTCCCTTAGAAGTCTGACCTGGAAGACAGAAGGTGTATATTCGTCATCAATGGAGTGCTGCTCCTGCATTGAGGGGCAGTCAGGGCCCTGCCCCAAAGTGGCTACCTCTAGCCCAAACAGTGAGTGGTTTCCTCGGGGAGAGGCTCCAACCAGGGCCACTTCTAGCTGGCAGGTTTCTGCTGTGTGCAGAAGGCGTGGGGGTTGGGCAGGTCGACCAGATCTGGAAAATGCCTGAACCTAGGAAGAAAAGGTGAAGAAGAAAACTGAATACCTATGCTTGAAGGCTACTCTCATAATCAACTCCCACCTTCATAAACCAGCCTTTTGAGTTCTCTCACTCCTACCTTGAAAGTCAAGCTGCCATTGGCAAAAGCCTTGGTTGGGTCATGCGTAGGGAAGCCTCGAAATGTGGCACTCAGGGTGGCAGGATCCAGTGAATCAGTGATGTTGTTCCAGGAGAACTCAGCCAGGGAATATGGAGGATATGGTTTTCCTGGGAGCTGCGCTGCTGCCTCAGACATGTTGGTGCTGTCAAACTCAAGCAGCTGGTGATGGGTTGGGTAAAACTGGGTTTGCCTTAAGTCTTTCCTGAATCACTCCTCCCATGCATCCACTCCATTAGGCGATTTGTCTTTCTCACATACTTTCTTTTACACACACACACACACACACACACACAGAGTCCCTCCCACTACACACCCATTCTTCTTTTTTGTTGTTGGTTGTGGGGCCTGAATTCTGGCCTGGGCGCTGTCCCTCAGCTCTTCAGCTCAAGGCTAGTGCTCCTACTTAAGCCACAGCGCCACTTCCAGCTTTTTCCACTTATGTGGTGCTGAGGAATCAAACCCAGGGCCTGCATGCGAGGCAAGCACTCTACCACTGTGCAACCTTCCAGCCCACACCCATTCTTCTTTTTTTTTTTGCTGGTCATGGGGCCTGAACTCTGGGCCTGGGCGCTCTCCCTCAACTCTTCAGCTCAAGGCTAGCGCTCTACCACTGGAGCCACAGCACCACTTCCGGCTTTTTCTGCTTATGTGGTGCTGAGGAATCAAACCCAGGGCCTCATGCATGTGAGGCAAGCACGCTACCACTGAGCCACTTTCCCAGCCCCCACACCCATTCTTCTTGATCGAGTCTCCCAACTTCCTCACCCTGGTGAAGATAAGGGCAGAAGAAAACTGAATGCTGTCCTTTGGAAGTACCATCAGACCCCCATCAGGATTAGGGGATAGCAGGCAGGTCCAGTTGACTTTCAGGACACTATGGGGAGTGTTGGTGGCCACCAACACCACTGATGGAGGACCCAGGCTGCTCCACACATAGTGCAGGGTGGAATTGGTGCCCACTGCCCGGATATGAAGCAGGTTCTGGGGGAGGTCTGGCCAGCCAGGGATAACCTCCAGAGATACCTGGAACATGGAATAGTTGAGAGGGGACAGGATTGGAGAAAGACAGGCAAAGAAGCTTGAGGGCTGGGAAAGGGGTTTGGGCAATGCCAGGGAAGGTGTAAGATCTTGGGGGCCCAGGAATAAGAAATGTGTGTGCTACCTAAAGGGACCCTGGAGTATGCAGAAGGAAGGTGGAGAAAAGGATTTTTTCCCCTGGGGGGGTAAGAGGGATGTAAGACTATCCTCTGATCCTGATGTGAAGAGCATAGGACTGAGAAGGAAAAAAATTAAAATCCCAACCCTTGCATGAAGCTGAACTTGGGTCATCCAGGGTCCAGACTTCATTAGAACATAAGCCATCATACCTGCTTCTCTCTACAATCCTTTTCTATCACGCATGCTGCCCACTAGACTCCCTCTAAATTGGTGGAACATTTCTCTGCAAGCACCCTCCACACCCACCCCTCAGTTGTCCGAGGTTCCAGCCATTCTAGAAAGGTAGCATTTCCCGAAACCTCTATTGCTCCCACAGCCCTCACCTGGCGAGTCTCCTCCCCTAGCAGGCCAAATGGGGCTGCAGACAGAAGCAGACTTAAAAAGAGCACAGGGCTGGGGGCAAAATGCCCCCAACCCAGGCAGGGCTCCGCACAGCCCCACATGCGGCAAGTTTTGCTGGCGGAAGAGATACCAGTCACGTGACTCTGGTTCAGCTGATCCCTTTAGAGGGTGGGGCCACCTTACCAGTTCTTAAAGAGACCGCCTCCCTCACCCAGATTTCAGCTTGAGTTGGACAAAAGTCATAACGAAAGGTTGCTAATCCATAATTGGATTGGCAAACAAAGCATTCCAAACTAGATGTACAGGCATATTCTCCTTCCTCTCCTACCCATACAGTGCCACCAGTGTACCAGTGTATGCTGGTCCTAGAGCTTGAACTCAGGGACTGGGAACTGTAGCTGAGTCTTTTTTTTTTTTTTTGCCAGTTGTGGGGCTTGAAATCAGGGTCTGGGCACTGTCCCTGAGCTTTTTTGCTAAGTCTAGCACTCTACCACTTGAGTCATTGGACCACTTCTGGCTTCTTATGTGGTACTGAGGAATCAAACCCAGGGCTTTAAGCATGTTGGCAATCACTCTACCACTGAGTCACGTTTCTAGCCCCCCTTTTTTTTATTCTCAAGGCAAGCCCATTAACACTTGAGCCACAGATCCACTTACAGTTTCTGGGTGGTTAATTATAGATAAAATTCTCACAGACTAGCCGGGCGCTGGTGGCTCACGCCTGTAATCCTAGCTACTCAGGAGGCTGAGATCTGAGGATCACAGTTCAAAGCCAGCCCGGGCAGGAGAGACCGTGAGACTCCTATCTCCAATAAACCACCAGAAAACCGGAAGTGGCGCTGTAGCTCAAGTGGTAGAGCGCTCGCCTTGAGCTGAAGAGCTGAAGGACAGCGCCCAGGCCCAGAGTTCAAGCCCCACGACCGACAGAAAAAAAAAAAAAAAAAGAAAAAAAATTCTCACAGACTTTTCTGCCCAGGCTGGTTTTGGTGAAGTGTGAGCCTCAGTTCTCAGCCACCTGAGTAGCTAGGGTTACAGATGCAACCCAACACTGCCTATAAAGTGTCTTGATTTAAAAATCCAAATGCAATGTGAATAATATAACTCAGTGGAATTTTAGAACACGAATGTGAATTTAGAATGTGAATAATACAACTTTGTGGAATACTAGATCCACATTAAAGAATGTTTTCAGGTAAGATGGCAGACTCTAGGGCTCTTTTTGACAATTCAATATTTACTGTCAGGATAATAGTCAGGAAGGCAAGATTTTCATCCTGGAAGAGCCTGTAATTTTGTTGTGAAGAAGGTACCTAAGAAACTAGTATTTGCTAAAAGAGGCAATCACACCTGGCTGAATGCACTTTTTTGGCCAATTCTGGTGCTTGAACTCAGGGCCTGGGTACTGTCCCTGAGCTTCTTTTGCTCAAGGCTAGCATTCTATCACTGAGCCTCAGTGGTACTGAGGAATCGAACCTGGGGCTTCATGCATGCTAGGCAAGCACTCTACCACCAAGCCACATTTCAAGCCAGCCCTGAATGCACTTTTTTTTTTCTGTCAGTGGTGGGGCTTGAACTCAGTCTCGGTACTGTTCCTCAGCTCTTCAGCTCAAGGTGAGAGCTCTACCACTTAAACCACAATGCCACTTCCGATTTGCTGATGGTTAACTGGAGGTGATTCTTATGGAATTTCCTGCCTGGGCTGGCTTGGAAACGCGATCCTCAGATCTCGGCTTCCTGAATAGCTAGGATTACAGGTTTGAGCCACAGGTACCTGGCTTGCACTTTTTTTTTTGTTGGTGTTGTTGCTTAATTTTTTTTTAGTGGTACTGGGATTTGAACTGGGTTGGTTGTTTCCAATTATAGCTAGCCCTCTATGCTTAAGCTACACCTTCCATTTCCAGCCTTTTTTTTTTTTTTTTGGTTAGTCATGTGGCCTGAACTCTGTCCCTTAGCTCTTTAGCTCTTCAGCTAGAACTCTACCATTTGAGCCACAGCGCCACTTCTGGCTTTTTCTGCTTGTGGTACTGAGGAATTGAACCCAGGGCCTCATGCATGCAAGGCAAGCACTCTTACCACTGAGCCAGCTTCCCAGGCCCCTCCTCCCCTTTTTAACCTAATTATTTCAAGATCAGACCAGGGTGATCAGATCTCAGCCACCTGAATAGCTAAAAAATAGCTAGGATGATAGGTGTGAGCCACTGGTATGAATTAAGAAAAGAAATGTCCGTCTTTTTTCCCTGCTACCCCATTGCTTGTTGGTGCCAGTACTAGAGCTTGAACTCAGGGCACTGTCCGTTAGCTTTTTTACTCAAGGCTGGCACTCTACTTTGCTTTTTTGTGGTTAATTGGAGATGAATCTCATGGAATTTTCTGCCTGGTTAGCTTCAAGCCAAGATCTTCAAATCTAAGTCTCTGGAGTAGCTTGGGTTACAGGTGTGAGCTACCAGCACCCAGCTAAGTTTTTTCTTGCTTTGCCATGTGTGTATGTCCAAGTGCTGGGGCTTGAACTCAGGATTTGGGTATCTGAGCTTTATTTGCTCAAGGGTAGCATTCTACTACTTGAACCAAAACACCACTTCCAGCTTTTTCGGAAGTTTATTGGAGATAAGAGCCTGGCTTTGAACTGCAATCCTCAGATCTTAGCCTCCAGAATAGCTTGGGTTAAGGTGTTGAGTCACTAGCACCAGGCCTCTTTGTTGCTTTTGAGACTGTAATCCATACAGAGCCTAGGCTGGCCTCAAATTTTAAAACCTCCCTATAGCTGAGATCATGGGCATTTCACAAACTAAACATTGTCCTCCTATGTTGAGAGCCAACAGTAAAGCTCCACAGTAAAGATCATCTTGACCCTTGTGCTTGCTTGAAGGCACATACAAGAAATTGGCTTGGGCTGGGAAGGTGGCTCAGTGGTAGAGTGCTTGCCTCGCATGCATGAGACCTTGGGTTCAATTCCTCAGCCCCACATAAGCAGAAAAAGCCGGAAGTGGCGTTGTGGCTCCAGTGGTAGAGCGCTCGCCTTGAGCTGAAGAGCTGAGGGACAGCACCCAGGCCCAGAGTTCAGGCCCCATGACCGGAAAAAAAAAGTAAAAAATAAAATAAAATAAAGATACTGGCTTACTTGATAAACACCAGGTGCCCAGGATTGTTTTGTTATGTCTAGTCTGTTTTACATTTGAATAGTTGACCTTCTTTTTATGGTACTGTTTTTACTAAGCCTAAACAGCAGACCTCCCGACCCCATCCTTCGTCTTGGGTCTTTTTTTTTCTCATCCTTGCCCCCTAAATCAGGATTCCCTTTCGTTGCCGGCAGGCTCCAGCACTCCTATGCTTTTTTTTTTTTTTCCTGCCAGTACTGGACCTCATGCTTCCTTACTTAGCTGATGATCCACCATTTGAGCCACACTTCTAGTTCCAGGTTTGTCTTTTAGCCAACCCAGGCTGACTAAACCAAAACTCTCAGATTTAAGACTCCAGAGTAGCTGGGATTAAGATGTAAGTCCCCCAGTTGCCTTTTAAAAGTATAAACTCTGAGGCATGGTAAGCCAAATCTTAGCTGAACAGAGAATTTTTAGTAGCAGTGAGGAAATTAAGCCCTTCATCCCACTCAAAGACACAGGTTATAACAATTATTTGTCAGTCCTGGGCTTGAACTCAGGGCCTGGGCACTGTCCCTGAGCTTGTCTTGTTAATGGCTAGCAGCATACCACTTGAACCACAGCATTACTTCAGGCTTTTTCTGTTTATGTGGTACTGAGGAATCAAACTCAGGCCTTAATGCATGATAGGCAAGCACTCTACCACTAAGCAACATTCTCAGACCTATAGCACTTTTTTTTTTTTTTTGGCATGGGGCCTGAACTCTGGGCCTGGGTGCTGTCCCTCAGCTCTTCAACTCAAGGGGAGTGCTTTCCCACTTGAGTCACATTGCCACTTTTGGCTTTTTCTGTTTATGTGGTGCTGTGGAATTGAACCTAGTGCCTCATGCATGCAAGATACTCTACCACTGAGACACCTTCCCAGTCCCTCCCTGAGCCTTTTCTGCTTAGGGCTAGTGCTCCACTCCACTTGTGGCCCTTTTTTTTTTGGGGGGGGGGGGGGAGGGGTCTGGTCATGGAGCCTGAACTCTGGGCCTGGGCCCTGTCCCTTAGCTCTTTAGCTCAAGGGGAGTGCTCTACCATGTGAGCCACAGCACCACTTCCGGTTTTCTTTTTGCTTATGTGGTGCTGAGGAATTGAACCCAGGGCCTCATGCATGCAAGGCAAGCGCTCTACCACTGAGTCACCTTCCTAGCCCTGGCCTTTTTGTTTTTTTGTCAGTTGTGAGGCTTGAATTCAGCCTGGGCGCTGTCCCTCAGCTCTTCAGCTCAAAGCTAGTGCTTACTACTTGAGCCACAGCACCACCAGTTTTCTGGTGGTTTACTGGAGGTAAATCTCAGACTTTCCTGCCTGGGCTGGCTTTGAGCCATGATCCTCAGATCTCAGCCTCCTGAATAGCCATGATTATAGGCCACCAACACCCAGCTCACTTCTGGCTTTTTGGTGGTTTACTAGAGATAAAAGTTGCTGGCCTGGTTTTGAACTGCAATCCTCAGATCTCTGCCTCCTAAGTAGTGAGGAATACAGGCCTGAGCCATGGGTACCCAGCTGTGTGTGCACTTGTGCTAAAGCTCAAACGCAGAGCCTGTCCCTTAACGTTTTTGCTCAAGGTTATCATTCGAGACGTAGCTCCACTTTGGCTTTTTGGTGGTTAATTGGATAGAAGTCTGAAGGGTTTTCCTGCCTTGGTTGGCTTTGAACCTAGTATTAACAATTACAGGCATGAGGGGCTGGGAAGGTGCCTCAGTGGTAGAGCGCTTGCCTTGTATGCATGAGGCCCTGGGTTCGATTCCCCACAGCACCACATAAGCAAAAAGAAAAAAAGCCAGAAGTGGCACTGTGGCTCAAGCGGTAGAGCGTTAGCCTTGAGCTGAAGAGGGACAGTGCCCAGGCCCAGAGGTCAGCCCCCACGAACGGACCCCCCAAAAACAAAAACACAATTACAGGCACGAGCCATTGGCACCCTATCTTATCGTCACTGGAAGGATGTTAGAAAATATAAGATGTCTGGAACATGTACTAGTTAAATAACACGTACACTATTGTACTACCAAGTAGTCAACTTAATACAAGTTCAGAAGTTAGGGAGATTAGTAAGGCTCAATGTATGAATCATTGAGGATAAAGGGAAAAGTGGCAAGCCTTGTTGACAAAAGGACAAGGAAGAAATCAAGTAAATGCCAACTCCATCACAGGCTATTATTCATAAACTCCCCCCCCCATGATAAAAAAGAAGTTTCATTACATGTCCCCAAGGACAAATGCCAGAGCCTTTGCCTGGATTTGGGTGTGGCCCTATACACAACCAGAACACCTTGGTTTAGGCAGGTTCCTTCTGTTCTTTGGGTGGTAGGTACAAAGGAGTGCTGTTTCTTCCTTCTACTGTGAAGTATGAAAAACAGTCCTTCAAGAAGGCAAGAAGATTTAATGGCCTCATTCCTGTATTCCCTTGCTCCCCAGTAAGGTGTTCTATCTTCTCCCACTTTGACAGGAGGTAGAGATATGACCCAAGGTTGAAAAACACATAACACCTTTCTCAAATGACTTAGATTTAATCATCGGAAGCAAACTATTTAAGCTTACAATAGAGAAGAATTACATGTCAGTGCCTTTTGCAAACTGAGCTGGGACAGAAAAGGGATTTGGGGCTGTTCCTCAACCTGATCCCTTTCAAACAAAGACATCCACAGTGTTCCTGGCAAACTGGCTCAGGAAAGGGGGAGACTGCTGTTTCTGAGCATTGAAGTCGCCTTGTCCACCACTCACTCCTGGCCAGCATCAGGAGCCCCACCTTGCCTGCTCTGGTCATCACCTTTCTTTTTGTGACCTGAGACGATGTCATCAATCCGAAGCAGTAGAACTGCCGTCTAGAAGAAAAACCAGTCCCGAAGAGGTGAGTAGAGAATGGAAAGGCTTTTTAAAAAAATTTTTACATCAACTTTATTTTCATAGCAACCTGTGTGAATTAAAACCTCACATTGACAACTGTTGTAGCAATCATATTCCTTCTTACATGTACCAAAATCTCATATGAGCAATGAGTTCTGGGTTGCAGAAGAGGATTTACTGGTTGCACCTGTTTATAAGGCCTTGTTACAAATTAAAACAAAGACACACACAAGGGCTCCTTTAAAAAAGATTTATCCTCTAGCTCCTTCCACTGAATTACCATTTTATCTGAAATTTACCTTTTCAGTCTTGAATGTAAAATAAATGCAGTTCCTAAGCAAAAGATGTAGTTCTGCTGTGTAAACTAAAGACTAAGTAGAGAAATAGAATAAATTCCTTAGAAGATCTTTGGAGGAGGGGTTGAGAAGGTGGCTCAGTGGTAGAGCGCTTGCCTTGTATGGATGAGGCCCTGGGTTTGATTCCCAAGCACCACATAAGC